TTCTGGCTTTTTGCTGGTTAATCAGAGAGAAGAGTCTCATGGGCTTCTTCGGTCCGGGCTGGTTTCCAACCACGATCCTCAGAACTCAGCCTCCTGAGGAGCTAGGGTTTGAGGTGTGAGTCTCCACCAGCACCTAGCTAGGATGACTGCAGATCTGTAACCTATGACATCCAAGCAGACACTCCCATTTCTAAACAAGACACGTTCTGGGGTGCTAGGTTGATATATTTTGAGGGGGGGGTGGTGCTGGTCACCCCAGGATAAGTGCTGTGCTTGCGAAGGTGTGACCAGGGCTCAGAACTCATCTCCAACCTGCTGGCCCTTCATTTTACAGAAGATGCAGCCGGGATTCAGATAGCTAAAGGAACTTGGCTAGGCCTGTCCCAGAAGTACCACGGACCCAGGAAATAATCCAGGAAGCAAGAAAAAGGAACAAACAAGAGACACAAGAGGGCTGGGAAGATGTCTTAGTGATAACATGCCTGCCTAGCATGCAAGAACCCCTGGGTTCGAATCCTTAGTACCACATAAGCAGAAAAAGCCCAAAGTGGCACTGTAGTTCAAGTGGTAGAGTGCTAGCCTTGAGCACAGAGAGGCCCAGGGACAGTGCCCAGGCCCTGAGTTCAAGGACTGCCCCCCCCAAAAAAAAGATACACAGGAGGTGGAGGAGGAGGGTAAAGGCAGGAGAGGACCAATTTCCCGTTCGCCGTGGACCAGCTGCTACACTGGAAGCTGGACTGAAAAAAAAAAAATCACTAGCCAATGAGGGAAGGTGGGAGAATCGGTTGTCATCTTGGAGATCCTTTTACAGTGCTTTGTCTTTGTTTTTGAATGGTCAAAGAAAGGAGAGTTTCTGTCACTGGGCAGAAAGCTCTTCCGGCCTGGTCCCTGCGAGCATCGTGCAGGTTGCCATGGTGAGAGGTGCTGATGTGGAGACGTGAACGATGTGAACGGTGGGGGTGACTGTGGGGTTTGCTGAGAGAGAGAGAGAGAGAGAGAGAGAGACGCGCACACACACACACACACTTCCAGGAGAACCCAGAGCAGAGCAGAGGCCGCCACGCTGGTCTTTCAGCTCGGGTCTCCTCTGCCTTGGAAGGCGGAGCTGTGTCCAGACCTGGCCGGCTCACATCAGGTAAGCACCATCTTGCAAATGGAAATGGCTTTTCCTTTTCCCACGCGGACGCGGGCCGGGAGAAGGGCCGAGCAAGTGAGTGGTGCCTGACGAGCTAGAACTGGGGAACACCTAGAATCGGGGGGTGGGGGTGGGGGAGGGGGCTGGATCAGGGTGGTGAAGGTGAGGTTGAGGATCTGAGACGAGGCGGGGATGGCGGGCGGTGGGCTGTGTGGACAGTGTTCTGCGTGGATAGCGGGCGGTGGGCTGTGCCGCGGAGCTTGCGTGCCGCAGGGGTGGATGAAGGCAGTGGGTGCGTGGCTGGGAAGGGGCGCCCTGGGGAGCCTTTTAAAGCTTCCGTCTGCTTCCACACCATCTGCTTTGGGAGGGCGTGTGCAGCCCAGCCTCACGAGTTGGCGTCTGAGCACGCTGAGGCACGAGGATGTTAAAATCACTCAGGGCTGTGTCTTCCCTGCGGCGTGCTTACCCCAGGAATCGGACACAAGAATGAAGGGGTTACAGGGGAGGCAGGGCAGAGAGAGAGAGAGAGAGAGACAGACAGACAGACAGACACACACACACACACAGGTGGTAATCAAAACCAGTCTGGCTTATTATCCATAAAATGAAATGGGGAAGATGGTGGATAGTGGGGCAGAAAGCATGGAGAAATGTTTACTAAAACCTACGTAGCTTGACTACAGCCGTCGTCAAGATCTTTGATCCAGGGAAACTCAATGGAGGAGATGTGCACACACTCCCTCCCTCCCTCCCTCCTCCCCTCCCTCTCCCCACCCCCTCTCTCTCACAGAACTAAAGAAAAAGCAAACCATTTGCAGATGGCTCTCAGGGAGGCTAGCAACCTGGAGACTCTGGTTTGCGGCTCCCTCTCCCCCCCCCCCCCCCCAGCCCCTGGGCTGTGGTGCTGCTGGCTTGCCTGCGGTAGCCATCCCCACGCCGCTCACTCAGCTCAGAAAGAGCAGCCGAGCGGCTGCGGGCTGCAGCAGAGGGACCTCGGGTGGCTAGTCTGCACAATGGACATCTAGATCTGACGGTGACGATCACAAGACATCCACAATTACTCGGGAATCACCTGCCGTGATCTGGGCAGCCCTCGCGCTGTGTGGGGGGGTTCTGAGGGTTCAGGAGCGTTGGTCAGCAGTCCCTATGCTGGCTAGGAGCCTGCAACCCTGGCCTGTGCAATGTCATTTCCTGCTACCTGTGGCTCTGAACACACACACACACACACACACACAGGCTGAAGCTTTTGAGTTAAGGCAGCTACTGGCACATGATGAAGTGCATCTCCACCGGTCATGGGCAATTGAGCTAGGAGGCTAAAAAAAGCACTGGACAGAACGTTCTAGATAACAGCTCACAGCACCTGGGAATGCAGTCAGAAGGCCAGGCAAGGAAGAGTTAGGTAGAACAATCGCTTGAGAGTAAGTCACTGACCTGGGAGGACAAACGGAAAGGGGGGCCCTGGAGTCTCACTCATTTTTCTTCCTATTGCCTTTTTCTTTCAGTCTTCTTTCCTTTTTTTTTTTTTAAGGACAACAAGCAATGTCTCCTCTAGAGGATTTCAGGCAGGGTGGATGTGGCTAGAATTACATGGTCCGAAGGCCAGATCTTGGTTTAGATTTTATTTTTATGCCAGTCCTGGGGCTTGAACTCAGGGCCTGGACGCTGGGCTCTTAGCTTTTTTCTCTCAAGGCTGTGAGTGCTCTACCACTTGAGCCGCAGCTCTACTTCCAGCTTTTTGGTTTTGTTTTTTGCTGGTTAACTGGAGTTGAGAGTCTCACAGCCCTTCCCGCGCTGGGCTGGCTTTGAACTGCCATCCTCCAGCTCCCAGCCTCCCGAGTAGTGAGGATCGGAGGCGTCTGTGAGCCTCTGGCTCGGGGCGGGTGGTCGTGCTTGCTGTTTCTTGGGTGGCCGGGCTGAGTCAGGTAACGGGGTCACCCCCGGTTTCCTTTCGGGTTCGCCGGGTGCGGGGTGGCCGTGGGGCAGGTCTGGGGGGACGTTGCTCCTCCCTGTGATTCTGGTTCCAGCCTCGGGATGAACATCGAGGTTGGGAACGTGTCTCACACGGGCGCCATCGTCTCCTGGTCCCCGTCGGAGCCCTGTCTGGAGGGCTATTACCACGTCACGTACAGGCCCAACTGGAACAGCATCTTCTCCAGCTATCTCCGCTACAGCTTCCACCGGGAGGAGAGGGTGCCGCGGGCCGCCAGCTCGGTGGCTCTGGAGCACCTGGCCCCCTCCACCCTCTACTTCCTCTGCGTCGGCTGTAAGGAGGCCGCTTTCCCCTACAGCCACCACTGCACCATGTTCCACACGTTGGACAGGAGCCCGCTGGCCACCGGGGGCTCCCTGGTGGACCCCCAGCTCTCCCTGTGGGTGTTGATGGCCATCCTGCTTGCCTGCTTCACCGCCGTCCTGGCGTTCATCTGCCTGCAGTTCTGGTGCATCCGCTGCCATGAGCCTCGCTGGTCTTACCGGGCCGGCCACATGGAGGAAGCCAACGGGCTGGTGAGATGGCCTGAGGAGGTCCCGGCGCTGGGGCAGAGGGAGGAAGACCCGCAAGGGCTCCCCCTGGTGGAGCTACCTCGCAAGGACTCCGGAGCTGGCGCCCAGGCCGAGGGGGAAGCGCCCCGCAATGGCCTTGAGGTGGGGGGGGTCCTACCCAGGGAGGGCGGGGGCCGGCTGGGGGGGCTGCCCCCCGGCAGGGAGTGACCCGAGTGTGTGCGTGGTGGGGAGGGGAGACACGGATGGCCCCCCCCAGGCTGGCGAAGGCCCCCCCCCCCCATGGCGTGAAGGGGCCGATCATGGCTTCCACCCCAAGGTCATCACTGGGGTCATCACTGGCACGATTTTAGTATCGACCCGAAGCCCGCGCGCGCGGAGCCCAGGCGCGAAGACAGCTCGGCCTCAGCCACGCGGCGTCTTCAAGGCCGTGGCTGGGTCGTGGGTGGGCTCCGAGCCATACTTTCGATCACTTTTTTTTTTTGGGAGGGGGGAGGAAAGCCGGGCTCTGGAGTGTTTCCACATCCCCAGCAGGCCCACGCCGCCCACACCCTACCATCACTTCAAGGAAAACTCATCAGCTGCCTTCCTGATCACGCGAGACACTTTTTCTTGAAATCCATTGCTTCTTAAAACCCAGTAAACAAACAAACAAAAAAAACCTAACCTACAAAACTGACAGGCTTACGTTACCCCGCCAGTGAGCCAAGCAACAGCTTCCGACTGCAGACAGAGAGCGAACTACTGCCCAATTCGTATCACAGAAACCCAAGACTGCTATGCTAGACCACGGCCGCTGCGATCAGCTGACGGCTGAACTCCAGACCTGCTCTGGTGTTTGATCAAAAGGAAGACCAGCCAGAGCCGAGGAAGGAGACGCGCAGTTCACCCATTGTCAGGTTTGGGGAAACAAAATCAGGAAGGGAAGAGGACTGGTTTTACTTAGAGTGGCACTAGCTCCGGTCATGCCAACTCCTTCCCAGAGCCCCCCACCCCCGCCGCACCCTCCAAGCCCTTTGCTGAAGGTTTTATGGGAGCAGAACAATCCCAGAATCCACTGGAGAGAAACGACACCAATCAACCAAGAAATCAGGAGAAAGTCAGGAGCCGAGCGTGACCAACAGGTGCACAGACCCCTTTCCCCGCCCATGCCAGTGCAGCTGTCACTCACAGCGCCTCCCCCAGTCCTCCCCTGCTCCCCCCCCCAGCCTCTGCTCACCCCACCCCTGCTAAGTTATGAACAAAATAAAGACACATATCCTTCGCGGTTCTCCCTGCCTGGACCTCGCTCGCCGACACCTCTTGATTTCTCTGCTATCAGTTTCCCCGCTGCGTCCTCCCTGGCCTGGGCACAACAACGCACCTTGGATCCGTAGAGGTAATAAGGCTGGACGTTGGCGGGTTTATCTCGCTGTGGTTCTTGGGTGAAAGGAATAGCAGTCCGGACAAAACTAGAAGGAGAAGAGAGGTGGGGGAGAGGTTAGGCGGGGCCCTGGAATATACTTCAGGAAGCCTGGGACAGCACGGGCCTTCCCTCCCTTGACCCAGGGGTTGTCTGAGGAGGTTCTAGGCTCTTCCAGCAATCCTCCTATTTGCCTACGGTCTACATTTCCATCCTGCATTCCTGGGCTCAGCTTAGTGCCGCCCAGTGCACCATGGGTAAGATGGTCCAGAGTGAGCCAGGCCCCAACATGGCCTTCTCTGGGGGGCTCCAACTTCACTTCCGGTTTCAAGACCTGGACTCAGTATGAGATCCAAGCAGCAAGCTATTGTCTGCCGTATGAACCAGAAGGTCTTCCCCAGGCTATGATCCGCTGGCTTAATTCCAGTAAAAATTTTATGCATTCTGAATAATTGTCACACGCCACCAAATAGTCTTCTTCAGACTTTTTTTTCCCAGCTACACAAAAATGTCAGAAATGTGCGTGGCGTCTGTAGCGCATGCCTGTAATCTTAGCTACTCGGGAGGCTGGCATCTGAGGATTGTGGTTTGAGGCCAGCCCAGGCAAGAAAATCTGTGAGACTCTTCTCGCCAATTAGCCACCAAAAAGCCAGAAGTGGAGTTGTGGCTCAAGTGGAAGAGCTCCAGCCTGGAGCAAAAGAAGCTCAAGGCAGCTGAGCACTGGTGGCTCACACCTGTAATCTTAGCTACTCAGGAGGCTGAGATCTGAGGATCACCATTAAGCCAGCCTAGGCAGGGAAAGTCCGTGAGATTTTTATTTCCAGTGACCCACTAGGAGAGCAGAAGTGGAGCTGTAGCTCAATGTGGTAGAGCACCAGCCTTGAGCAAAATAGTTCAAGGGCACAGTTCAGCCCCAGGGTTTAAGTCCCATGACCCCCCTTTACCCCCCCCCCAAAAAAAGCTCGGGGACAGTGCCAGGCCCTGAGTTCAAGCCCCAGGCCTAGTGTGTATGCACACGCGTGCACACAGGCACACACAGATGTCAGTAACATGCAGGCTCACAGACTGTACCAGGATGGCTGGTAACTATAACACAACCTACTGACTGTGGCCTGGGCCACTGCTGGCTTGCAATGCCTTCCTTGCTCAGATGCATCAAATACCCCAGTCTTCATAGAAACAGAAGTCTGCTTTGCTCGGTGGGCGGATCCAGGTGAATTTGCAGTTCTTCACAGGTCTTTGATTCACTCAATACAACAGGATTCACTCACGGCCCGAACCAGGCAGTGGGTTACTAAGAGGATCTGCACTACCGATAGTCATTTTGGACTATGGGGCCTGACAGGATCTGCGCTTGCATACACCTACCCTTCCTGACAGGAGCTGCCCGTGCGTGCATCCTTACATTTCCCCTTCCACACTTGTGTTTGGACGTGGCTATAGGCCATTACTGGCAGGATCTGCGCTTGCATGTACCTACCCATCTATAGCCCTTACTGCACAGGATCTGCACGTGCGTACGTCTACCAGTCTATTGCCCTGAAAGAATCTGCGCATGCGTACATCTACCCGGCTCCAGCCCTGACTGCACAGGATCTGCACATGTGTACACATTCTTGCATCCTTTTCCATACGCCTTTTTGGACGTGAGGACAGGTCTCACCTCTCCCTCCGGGCGCTAAAGCTCTGTGGGAACGCAGGAACCCCATCCTGTCTCACCCAGGACTGTGGGCCCCTCCTGGGAGGCAAGGCCCACCCTGCATTGACCGTGCGTGCTGTGCGGGTGTGTTCTGCATTGCCCGTGTGTGCTGTGCGGGTGTGTTCTGCAGTGCCCGTGTGTGCTGTGCGGGTGTGTTCTGCATTACCCGAGTGTGCTGTGCGGGTGTGTTCTGCATTGCCCGTGTGTGCTGTGCGGGTGTGTTCTGCATTGCCCGTGTGTGCTGTGCGGGTGTGTTCTGCAATGCTCGTGTGTGCTGTGCGGGTGTGTTCTGCATTGCCCGTGTGTGCTGTGTGGGTGTGTTCTACAGTGGCCGTGTGTGCTGTGCAGGTGTGTTCTGCAGTGGCCGTGTGTGCTGTGCAGGTGTGTTCTGCATTGCCCGTGTGTGCTGTGCGGGTGTGTTCTGCATTGCCCGTGTGTGCTGTGTGGGTGTGTTCTGCAGTGGCTGTGTGTGCTGTGCGGGTGTGTTCTGCATTGCCCGTGTGTGCTGTGTGGGTGTGTTCTGCAGTGGCTGTGTGTGCTGTGCAGGTGTGTTCTGTATTACCCGTGTGTGCTGTGCGGGTGTGTTCTGCATTGCCCGTGTGCTGTGCAGGTGTGTTCTGCATTGCCCGTGTGTGCTGTGCGGGTGTGTTCTGCAGTGGCCGTGTGTGCTGTGCGGGTGTGTTCTGCATTGCCCGTGTGTGCTGTGCGGGTGTGTTCTGCATTGCCTGTGTGTGCTGTGCGGGTGTGTTCTGCATTGCCCGTGTGTGCTGTGCGGGTGTGTTCTGCATTGCCTGTGTGTGCTGTGCGGGTGTGTTCTGCATTGCCCGTGTGTGCTGTGCAGGTGTGTTCTGCAGTGCCCGTGTGTGCTGTGCGGGTGTGTTCTGCATTGCCTGTGTGTGCTGTGCGGGTGTGTTCTGCATTGCCCGTGTGTGCTGTGCGGGTGTGTTCTGCATTGCCTGTGTGTGCTGTGCGGGTGTGTTCTGCAGTGGCCGTGTGTGCTGTGCGGGTGTGTTCTGCAGTGGCTGTGTGTGCTGTGCGGGTGTGTTCTGCATTGCCCGTGTGTGCTGTGCGGGTGTGTTCTGCATTGCCCGTGTGTGCTGTGCGGGTGTGTTCTGCATTGCCCGTGTGTGCTGTGCGGGTGTGTTCTGCACTGCCCGTGTGTGCTGTGCAGGTGTGTTCTGCAGTGGCTGTGTGTGCTGTGCGGGTGTGTTCTGCATTGCCCGTGAGTGCTGTGCGGGTGTGTTCTGCAGTGCCCGTGTGTGCTGTGCGGGTGTGTTCTGCAGTGGCTGTGTGTGCTGTGCGGGTGTGTTCTGCATTGCCCGTGTGTGCTGTGCGGGTGTGTTCTGCATTGCCCGTGTGTGCTGTGCGGGTGTGTTCTGCAGTGGCCGTGTGTGCTGTGCAGGTGTGTTCTGCAGTGGCCGTGTGTGCTGTGCGGGTGTGTTCTGCATTGCCCGTGTGTGCTGTGTGGGTGTGTTCTGCAGTGGCTGTGTGTGCTGTGCGGGTGTGTTCTGCATTGCCCGTGTGTGCTGTGCGGGTGTGTTCTGCAGTGGCCATGTGTGCTGTGCGGGTGTGTTCTGCACTGCCCGTGTGCTGTGCGGGTGTGTTCTGCATTGCCCGTGTGTGCTGTGCGGGTGTGTTCTGCAGTGCCCATGTGTGCTGTGCGGGTGTGTTCTGCAGTGGCTGTGTGTGCTGTGCGGGTGTGTTCTGCATTGCCCGTGTGTGCTGTGTGGGTGTGTTCTGCATTGCCCATGTGTGCTGTGCGGGTGTGTTCTGCAGTGGCTGTGTGTGCTGTGCGGGTGTGTTCTGCATTGCCCGTGTGTGCTGTGCGGGTGTGTTCTGCATTGCCCGTGTGTGCTGTGCGGGTGTGTTCTGCAGTGGCCGTGTGTGCTGTGCGGGTGTGTTCTGCAGTGGCTGTGTGTGCTGTGCGGGTGTGTTCTGCATTGCCCGTGTGTGCTGTGCGGGTGTGTTCTGCATTGCCCGTGCGTGCTGTGTGGGTGTGTTCTGCAGTGGCTGTGTGTGCTGTGCGGGTGTGTTCTGCATTACCCGTGTGTGCTGTGCGGGTGTGTTCTGCATTGACCGTGTGTGCTGTCTGGGTGTGTTCTGCATTGACCGTGTGTGCTGTGCGGGTGTGTTCTGCACTGCCCATGTGTGCTGGGTGGGTCTGTTCTGCGCTTCCATGGGTAGACGCGTGGATATCCTTGCACGGCCAGTGTGATCCAGGGTCTCTAAAGGCAAGAGGCTGACGCGTGTCTATTTCTGCTGCAGCTGCTGCATCCCGCAGGGTTTTCCGTGGGCCCATGGCCCACGGCGAGGGCCGCCCCCAGCCTCCCTGCTGCAGAGCCAGCAGCGTCCCCTGAGGGCCACCTGGCTCCATGGACCCCACCAGGAGATGGTCTTTGCTTCGACTCCTTGCTGCCCTTCTCTGGCCCAGAGGCTCCACGAGTCCAAGCGACCCCCTGGGGAGCAGGCAGCCAGCCCAGCCCCCCCACCCCGGGGAACAGGGACCCCCCCCCCCCCCCCCGCACCGTACCGGTTGGTGGAGCCATTGTAGCAATAGTTAGGGAGGAAGTCGAAATTCAGTTCCCAGAAGACGTGCAGGGTGATGCGGCCGTAGGGGGCCGAGACGTTGTGATTGGCCTCCCGGAACATGGTGTCGAAGCTGTCCAGGGTCATGTGCTTGCAGAGTAGCCGGTGTGTGAGACGGTTAATCTCCAGCAGCCACTCCAGCTCCTGCCACGGGAGAGAAGCCCTGGGCCATGGAGAGTTTACCCAGAATCCCCCGCACCCGCTCACCTTCTCCTGAGCCCTGGTGTCACCATCGATAGAGAGCCTCGACCGCTCACCGCAGGCTCGAGGACGAGCCTCGACCTCTCTAGCTCTTGCTGTTAGGCTGACACACGGGAACTTTGGGCTTTGGGTGTTTGAGATCATTTGCTATGGAATATTGGCAATGGTAGGGCTGGAACGGTGGCTCAGAGGCAGACTGCTGGCCCAGCATGTGTGAAGCCCTGGGTTCGATTCCTCAGTACCACTTACACAGAAAAAGCCCAAAGTGGCGCGTGGCTCAAGTGGTAGAGCACTAGCCTTGAGCAAAAGCAGCCCAGGAACAGCGCCCAGGCCCAGAGTTCAAGCCCCATGATTGACCAAAAGGGGGGTATGTTCTGGTGGGCTCCACCTTTGCTCTTAGCCTCTCTCTCTCTCACTGAGGAGATAAGGACAGGACTCGTGGGGTCTCACATGAAACAAGGATTAAGAGCTTCCGGGCAGGGGCAGCAGAGCCGGCAGGACACCCACCACGCGCCCCTCCTGTGCCCTGGCTGGCTCCCAGGGCCCCCCCCCCCCCCCCTGCACAGCTAGCTGAGCCTCGATGGGGGGCAGGGGGCGTCTCCACCTCCCAGTACAGCTAACAACACTTCCCACGCAGCAACCGGGAGCAGAACCCTCCTCCCCTCCCCAGCCCCAGCCCCCTCCCCAGCCCCAGCCCCCTCCCCAGCCCCAGCCCCAGCCCCAGCCCCCTCCCCAGCCCCCTCCCCAGCCCCAGCCCCCTCCCCAGCCCCAGCCCCAGCCCCCTCCCCAGCCCCAGCCCCAGCCCCAGCCCCCTCCCCAGCCCCAGCCCCCTCCCCAGCCCCAGCCCCCTCCCCAGCCCCAGCCCCCTCCCCAGCCCCAGCCCCAGCCCCCTCCCCAGCCCCCTCCCCAGCCCCAGCCCCAGCCCCCTCCCCAGCCCCAGCCCCCTCCCCAGCCCCCTCCCCAGCCCCAGGCCCCTCCCCAGCCCCAGCACCCTCCCCAGCCCCCTCCCCAGCCCCAGGCCCCTCCCCAGCCCCCTCCCCAGCCCCAGCCCCCTCCCCAGCCCCCTCCCCAGCCCCAGCCCCCTCCCCAGCCCCAGCCCCAGCCCCCTCCCCAGCCTCCTCCCCAGCCTCCTCCCCAGCCCCAGCCCCAGCCCCAGCCCCCTCCCCAGCCCCAGCCCCAGCCCCCTCCCCAGCCCCTGCCCCCTCCCCAGCCCCAGCCCCCTCCCCAGCCCCCTCCCCAGCCCCAGGCCCCTCCCCAGCCCCAGCCCCCTCCCCAGCCCCCTCCCCAGCCCCAGCCCCAGCCCCCTCCCCAGCCCCTGCCCCCTCCCCAGCCCCAGCCCCCTCCCCAGCCCCCTCCCCAGCCCCAGCCCCAGCCCCAGCCCCAGCCCCCTCCCCAGCCCCAGCCCCCTCCCCAGCCCCCTCCCCAGCCCCAGGCCCCTCCCCAGCCCCAGCCCCCTCCCCAGCCCCCTCCCCAGCCCCAGCCCCCTCCCCAGCCCCAGCCCCAGCCCCCTCCCCAGCCCTAGCCCCCTCCCCAGCCTCAGCCCCCTCCCCAGCCCCAGCCCCAGCCCCCTCCCCAGCCCCAGCCCCCTCCCCAGCCCCAGCCCCCTCCCCAGCCCCAGCCCCAGCCCCCTCCCCAGCCCCAGCCCCAGCCCCAGCCCCAGCCCCCTCCCCAGCCCCAGCCCCAGCCCCAGCCCCAGCCCCCTCCCCAGCCCCAGCCCCAGCCCCCTCCCCAGCCCCAGCCCCCTCCCCAGCCCCAGCCCCAGCCCCCTCCCCAGCCCCAGCCCCCTCCCCAGCCCCAGCCCCCTCCCCAGCCCCAGCCCTAGCCCCAGCCCCAGCCCCCTCCCCAGCCCCTTACCACAATGGAGGTCACATCCTCGCTCTCGAAGCGGCTGATGGCCTGGTCCAAGGATTTGTACATGGCGGCAGAGATGCGCTGGGTAATGAGTCTGTTCAAGTCGATGGATCTACCCAAGAGCTGGTGGCAGGGGAAGCGGGTGGGGCAGAGGAGGGGAGGGGAGAAAGGGAGAGAAGAGGAGGGGAGAGGAGGGGAGGAGGAAAGGCAGGGTGGAGAGAGGAGGGGAGTTCGGTAAGAATTCTCAGACACCTGTCCATCAAATGCAGGCGGGCAGGAAGCTGGGCTGGGGAGGGGAGGAGTCTGGAGGGCTGCGTGGAGGCGGTGTCTGGCTCAGCATCTGGGTGAGCTGGTGTTTGCTGTTTGTGGGCTGGCACACGCACCGTGAAATGTCCTGATATCCACAACGTGTTCCCCATGGGTAAAAGGTGTGTGTGTGTAACCTGCCACACACACACACACACACACACACACACAGAGCACGCGCGTGCACACACACATGCACGCACACAGAATGAGCACGCACACATGCACGCGCACACACACAGCATGCATGTGCACAGTGAGCACGCACACATGCACACACACACACACACACACACAGAGTGAGCACACACACCCTGGGAGATCCCTGCTGTCCTCTCAACTATGGAAAACCAGGGAAAATTGGGACTCATTGGGGGAGGGCAGGCTGGCACGCGGGGTGCGGGGAGCCCCAAGTTCAGCCCCGAGGCTCTTCCTGCCTCTTTCCTGGGCCTGCAGTGTCCCCTCCCCGGCCCCGTGCCACGGGAACACGCAGGGCAGGGCTGCAGCTGCTGGGGAGATGCCAGCAGCATTTATTGAGCACCTGCTGTGTGCACCCAGCGCACAGTGCTGAGCGCCGAGTGCATGCACGGTGCTGAGCGCCGGCGCGCAGCTGTGATTTCGCTCAGGGTAACGGTCCTCTCTGCCCACGCCAGTCAGGGCTCTGAGTCCTGGGGGGGGGGGTTCTCCCGCTGCTGCAGTGGGGTGCACAGAGTACCCCCAAAGCATCGCTCTCCGTGCCCCTGAGCTGGCTGAGGTGGCGGACATGTTGCTTTTTTTTCGTACAATTCTCTCCCTTCCCGTGGAGTTTTCACAGCGAGGGGATCGTGCGGGACTGTCAAGGTTAAGAGGGGTTTCCTTTTTTTCCCAACGCCTTTTTGGTCTCAGCTCTGGCCCCTAACAAGAACCAGGGGACCCCCCCCCCAAAAAAAAGTACAGAGGGCAGAGGAGATAGACGTTTGGCCAAGGGCGGGGGGGGGGGCTCAGCGTCCATTGGGGCGCCGGCCACGGAGGCCGCTGGGCTCACTACAACGTCTTCCAGCTCCCCAGGGTAACTCTTCTCCCTCGGGGTCACCCCCACACATACAGGGACCCCAGTTTCTGCCCTGGCTGGTCTGCTGGGATCCATTCTGAAGGCATCACGATCCGCTTCCCTTCTCCAGGGGAGATTTGCCCATCAGAAAGTGGGGAGGGGAGGGGGCTGCTGCAGGTTAGGATGCGAGGCTTTGGGGGTTCCCGATCTCCCGAGGCAAGCTCGCAGATAGGAGAGGAACCCTACGACGTAGCAAAGTCCGTAAGGCTCTGACTGGGTTTTACCCACGTCTCAGAATCCCTCCACTGGGCAGTTCCTGGGCACAGCACCCTGGCTTTGGGCACGAAGGTGGCAGGTGCCATCTTTCTCGACGTCCCCCCCGCACGCCCCGCACCCCATACCTGCACGTGTCTCTGCTTCAGCAGCGTCTCGTAGCGGTTGGAGGGCGGGTACGGGATGATCACCCCGTAATTCTTACACTCGGCCCGGAAGCGTTTGTCCAAGAGCACGCTGGGAAAACCAAGCGAAACAGATCCACTAAACCCCCGGGTGAACAGCACCTCCCTCGCTCAGCCGCAGACCTGCTCTACCCACGGCTTCTCCCTTCCGCAGTACAGCGCTGTCTGCAAGCCGCTGGGGGACGCTTAGTTCCAGCCAGGAGCTCAGAATGGGGGGGAAAAAAGTCAGTTACAGATGGGCTGCTTGCCTCTGTCTGTCTGTCTACTACAAGGTAATTGAGTCTGTGCTGAGTATAACCCAGGGAACATTCTAGATGTGGGGTTCCTGTCTTCAGGGAGTTTACACCTTAGCTGTGAGAGACTGATCATGAATAAGCACGCGGAGCGCTGGGCGCTGGGCGCTCAGAGGCTGAGACTGGACAATCATGGCTGCTAGCCATCCCGGGGAACACAACTCTGGTAGCCTTCTTTGTTTCTTTTGGTCTGTCGTGGGGCTTGAACTCTGGGTCTGGGCGCTGTCCCTCAGCTCTTCAGCTCAAGGCTAGCACTTGAGCCACAGCGCCACTTCTGGCTTTTTCTGCTTATGTGGTGCTGAAGAATCAAACGCAGGGCCTCATGCATGCGAGGCAAGCGCTCTACCTCTGAGCCACCTTCCCAGCCCTCCAGTAGACTTTTATCTACACTTAATCAGCAAAAAGTTGGAGGTGGTGGTGTGGCTCAAGTGGTAGAGCACCAGTGCCTGAGCAAAAAAGTTGAGCAAGAGCACGGCCCTGAGTTCAAGCACACCAGGACCCACACAATGTTTATACACACACACGTGCATACATGTGCAACATGACATTTTCCATTTTCATAGTTTGTGAGCGCATGGCTTGTGACACTCACTCCCATTACTGTGCTGACATAAAAATTTGAATTTGTAAGCCAGGCGCTGGTGGCTCACCCAGTAATCCTAGCTACTCAGGAGGCTGAGATCTGAGGATTGCGGTTCAAAGCCAGCCCAGGCAGGAAAGTCCGTGAGACACTTATCTCCAATTAGCCACTCAAAAACTGGAAGTGGAGCTGTGGTTCAAAGTGGTAGAGCACTAACAAGCCTTGAGCACAAGAGCTCAGGGATAGTGCCCAGGCTGCCCCAACTGAATTCACACACACACACACACACACACACACACACACACACAACCAGGAATTCCTGTTTAGTTAACACACCCCCAGTAATGTCAGGATTCTGTAAAACCCGCTGTGTCTCTGCGTTAGCTTCTCCATTGTCTTCCTGTCTGCTTTTCACACATCCATCCTCGCTCCCATTCCTTCTCCAGACTTTTTCTCTTTTCATCAGGATTTGAACTCTGGGCCTCATGCTCTTGCTCAGCTGGCTTACTTAGGCTGGTGCTCTACCACTTGATCTCTGCCTCCAGTCCACATTTTCTGCGTGGTTATTCTAGCGATGGAGTCTAGCTGACTTTTCTGCTCAGGCTGGCTGTTCAATCATCAAATCGCAGCCTCAGGAGTAGCTGGGATTACAGGCCTGTGCTACCCAGCACCTGGCCTGGCTCATACTTCTACTTTTTTTTTTAAAGGGCCAGCAAATTACCATGAAGCTACTAGCCCGCCTCGCGCACTAAATGCCCAGGTGCTGATCTGCCCTGCCTTCCTCTCCCAGCTCCTCACAGTGCCCTCTCGTGGCTACCGGCGGGACAACAACCGGCATTAACACCCGAACCAGGCAGGCTCTAGGACTTTTGCTACTTCAGCCATAGGGACTCAGCACAGGAAGTTCCCTTTGCCTGCAATTTCCAGGAACATATTGCTTGCTTTCATATTGCCTTTCTATCTCCGCTCCCCCAAGCCCTGCATTTTACCGGCCTCCTTCGTAAGACAGCACATAACCTCCTTGTCTCATCGGCATCTCTCTGCCCCATGAAGTTGGCACCGTATCTGCCCATCGCTCCTCTCCAAGGATTCTAGCACCCAGCCCAGTCCCACCGAACAGCTCTCTTCTCCTTACGTGCTCCTAGAGGGGAGCAGGGAGGCGTGCCCTCTAGACACAGCGTTGGGAAGGATGGCTGCGTCCAGCCCCGGCTCTCCTACCTGCCCGCCATGGCCTTGTAGTAGGCGAAGATCTGGTCCGCCAGCTTGTAGACAAACTGATCAAAACACAGGTTCACCTGAGGAGGGAAGCGGGGACAGTCACACAGCAGCGCCACCCGATGGCCGTTACACAAACTCCAGGGACTGGAACGGAGTGGCTGGGGCTGCATTCCCTCCCCCAAGCATGTTCTGAACTTCATGTCAGCTTTGAAGGAAAACAGTAAAGAGAGAGAGAGAGAGAGGAAGGGAGGGAGGGAGGCTGTGTCCAAGTAAGTCTGATTACCCCTTGTAAATCAAGGTACTCAGTTAACAGATGAAGCGAAGTTCACGCCTATATCCTGAGCTCTGAGGATCATGGTTCAAAGCTAGCCCAGGCAGGAAAGTCTGTGAGACTCCCACATCACACCGGACTTGAGTGAAAAGCCAAATGACAGTGTGAGGCCCTGAGTTCAAGCCCCAGGACTGGTGTGCACACGCATGCGCACAGAAACAAACTCAAGCACAAGCTCACACAGAGCCCAAAAGAGCTGCAGGGGAACCAACCTCCCCATCATGGTGCCACTCCTCAGCCCTGACCCGGATGTGAAGTCCTCCACCTGTCACCTCCCTGGCTTCATACTTACTGGGCTCGCCCTAGAGCCACCCAGCGGCCATCACTGCCCATAGGTTGTCTCGGTTCTATTTCTTTTACAGTTCTTGGATGTTTGTTTTTACTTTGCCAATCTGATTATAATAACATGGTTAGAAATGTAAAAGCTGCTCCCCCCCCCCCACTTCCACACTGGGCTTCAACGAATCACTCTGGTTTGTTAACGTGGGAGTCTCCTGCAGTCAGTGCTGTGTGATACCCACAGGAGATTATGGCGATCCTGATGCAGAGACCAAGGCCAGAGAAAGACAACGGTGGGGTATGGGCACATGGGGCTGGGGCTGCAGCAGGGTATGAAGATACCGGCACACTTGTGGCGGGGTGGGGGGGGGGGGGGGAGGTGGGGGGGGGTGGGGGGGTGTGGAAGGGTTCATCATTGATTCTTTCCCTGTCAGGGGCTCAGCCCCAGAGCGAATTCATTCAAAGGCTCACACACAGCACAGGGCCTGGGGGGCTGGGGGGGGGGGCCTGGAGGGGGCTCTGATCTGGACTGGGAGCATCCAGATCCCCAGGGGAACCCTCTTCCCCCCTCCCCCCCACTCCAGGCAGCTCCTTGGGAGGCAGCCATAGGAGGACTGTGGTTTGAGGCCAGTATGAGGGGGAGGGGAGGAGAAAGAAAAGGAAAAATCAGAGTTTGGGAAATCTCATCTCAAAGAACGAGCAGGGAAGGGTGGCTCCCGCCTGGAATCCCAGCCCCGGGAGGCGCTGGCGTGACAGCAGCCTGTCCCCGGCGCCTGCCAACACCAGCGATCAGTCAGCTCACTCGCCTCGGCCTCGATCTCGTCGTACAGGAACTGCTTTTTGAACTTGGTCAGCGCGTAGTAGGCGCTGTCGTTGTACAGGTCCAGCGGGTAGAGGACATACCTGCGGGGGGGAAGAGGGGGCAGAAGGGAGGGCGGGTGGTTTACCAACTGGCTGGGGGGGTGGATCCGAGCTTCCCGCGAGGCGCAAGGGGGGCCCAGTGAGGGGAAGACCCGGGGCCAGGCCGGACCCCGGGACTGGGCGGCCTCGCTGGGCAAAGTGGAGGCGAATGAGGCCTGGGGAGCCACCTGCAGCCCAGGCCTCGCCCTCTGCGGCCCAGGCCCCGCCCCTGAAACCCAGGCCCCACCCCCACAGCTCAGGCTCTGCCCCAATAGTCCAGGCCCCACCCCCTGTGACTCAGGCCCTGCCCCTAAGACCCAGGCCTCTGCCTTCTGCAGCCCAGGCCCCGCCCCTGCAGCCTAGGCCCCGCCTCCGCAGCCCAGGCCCCGCCCCCGCAGCCCAGGCCCCGCCTCTCACTCCATCATGGAAGGCTCCTTGGTCTCCAGGATGTGGTCCGTCAGAATCCAAGGCATGGACATCTCGATGGGAAACTGGATGCGCCTGCCCATGGTGAGCTCCAGGAAGAACTCTCGGAACCAGAGCTGGGAGAGGTCACAGCACTGCTGCAGCGCTTCTGCGGGCACAGGGAGAGGTGGTGAGAGGAGGTGGGGGGAGTTGTGGGACCATTTCTATCCCCCCCTTCACAGAGTTATCTTGAAAACACAGCCGAAGTCTAACACACGTGCTTCTAGAGCTAGGCGTGGCAGCTCACGCCTGTCATCCCAGCGCCTCAAGAGATGGGCCAGATCAAGATTCAAGGCCCAAAGCCCAGAAAAAGAAAAGCGAGACTTCATCTCAACCAAGAAGCCAGGTGGGGTCGCATGCACCTAAGGAGGAGAGTAGTTTGAGGCTGGCCTGGGGCGGGAAAAAAAAGTGAGACTTTCTGAAAACAACAACAAAACTACTACAGCACAACACCCGGTTGTACAAGGCCCTGAGTTCCAAGCACAGCACTGCCCAAACTCAGCAACAACAGAAAGAACACCCCAAGACAGTCTCTGTGTCTCTCTCTCTGTGTCGGTCTGTCTGTCTGCCTCGGATGGGTGCCTACATTGCTAGCATCATTCTCTTTTACGCACTATCAAGGCTCACACATCCTGGGGTCTCCCTCTGCCCTTCCTGCCCAACTCTGGCATGCCGGGGATTCCCAGCTGAGGATGGCCGGCCTCTCCCGAGCCCTGAGGGCTAGCGTGGCAGCCCGATCCATTGGCCGTCATCAATGATCAGACACCTTCAGCCAGGTCCTGACAGATGCCCCGCCCATCTCCCAGATTCCACCGGGGAAATCAAGGGTGTGGTCTGGTGGGGCTGGGCGCTGGCTCCTCCCTGGGCCCCGCCCGCCCCGGCGCTCACCACTGATGTTGAGCAGATGGGTGAAGAAGAAGGACTGTTTGTGGAAGTCCTCGATGGCAAGGACAATGGGCCCGTCCAGGCTGCTGCGCAGGGTCTTCTTGGAGCCGCTCTTGTCGGCGATGAGAGACTCCAGCATGGTGCGCACCATGTACAGCTGGAGAAAGAAAGGAAGAGGGCAAGGTCAACGTCAAGGTCAAAAGCCAAAGGCTGGGCCTCCACCCTGGGGGAAAGGTTACTGAAGGTTATTTGTAGGATCTGTCTTCCTTCCTTCCTTCCTTCTTCCTTTCCTTCTCTCTCTCTCCCTCCCTTCCTTCCTTCCTTTCTTCCCTCACAAATTACTGTCTAGGTGGAGCAGCAAATCTGGCACTGTGAAAGCTGTGTGTGTGTGTGTGTGTGTGTGTGTGTGTGTGTGTGTGTGTGTGAGTGTGAGCCATCCAGGGTCTGGCAACATGGCGGATGGCTCCACCATTGGCTCCACCACTGACAACCCTTGTGAAAACCTCCAGGAGGGGAAACTGGCCAGCTGGCAAGGAAGCTCCTTTTGATGCCCAGGGCAGCCCTTGGACCTGAAGTTCCCGGGCAGCACTGCCCAGCTTCGCCCCGTGGTGGTATCGGGGAGACCCTCCTGCTCTGTGTCACTGTGGTCACCCCACCTTTTCCATGGTTGGGTCCCATGGGTGGGGCACTGTGCTGGGAGTCAGGAGACCTGGGTACAAGGCCAGGAGGTCTTCCTGACTTGCTGTGTGACCTTAGGAGCACAGGCCCCCTCTCTGGGCTCCAGTTGTGGTGTCTAACAAGAGGGGAAGGGGGGGGGGTCGGGTAGACCAGATGCCATCTCAGATTGGCCCGGTGCATCTTGAACATCTTGAAGAGGTGTGCAACGGGAGGAGGGTAAGAGTGCTCCCCACCCCGCCCGGCTCCACCCACCCCACCCACCCACCGCCGCCAGTTTCCGATCCCATTTGCTGAGTGTGTCTGTGAGTGACAGCGCCCCCTGGTGGCCTGGAGCCACACCGCACAACCTGCCTGGAGCCGACAGCAGTACTTAACATCAGTACTTACACAGGAGACTACTAGACAGACAGGGAGCTGCGTGCAATGTGCCCTGTGTGCACAGGGCACGCGACCGCGCTCTCTGCCACGAGCTACACCTTTCCACGCCACTGAATCTGAGGGCCAGAAGGGGCCGTGAGGGAGCAGGCACCCCCCCCACCCCGCCAGCCGGCGGAATACCAGGGATCGGCAGCCTCTTCGGCTCTGTGTGCCACCAGTGGGGTGAAACAAAGCCCTCGGGGACCACTGGCAGGCCTAAGACACAACGGGAGAGGGGGAAGGCGGGGACGGGAGGGCGGGAGAGACAGGGACGAGGGAGAGAGAGAAAGAGAGAGAGAGAGAGAGAAAAGCAAGAGGTATTGTATACAACGGGGAAGACGTGACCGATGCCAGGTGGCCGAGACGCTCCAGCCTCCCAGCCGCTCCTTCCTGCCCGCCACCTCGCACGCCACGGGCCTGGCCCTCACAGGGCGCCCCCGACGGGGGGGGGGGGGGCGAGCGCTGAGAAAGCCAACCCCTGCTCTATCCATGGCCTCCAAGGACGTGCTAGCTCTAACCTGCTGCGAGCACTGACCCAGACTCAACCAGGGCAGGGCCGGCCCTTCCCCTCCACCCATTCACCAGAGCAGACGGGAAGGAGGGGGGTGGAGGGGCGGGGCCAGGAGACCTGGGTTCTTGGGCCCCCCTCCCCCACTCCATCTGGGACTCACCTTGTGACTCGGGACAAGTCACCTGCCCTTTCTGGGCCTCAGGTTTTCCCCATTTCGGGGTGGGGGGGATGGGGGCCAAGGGTCCACGGCTGCGCTCTCTCTTGGGGTGACTCCAGGGGTGGCAGGGTTAATCAAGCACCCCTTTCTGATTGGGGGGGTGGGGGTGTCCCTGAACAGTCCCTCCCCTAAGCCAGCATCCCTACAGAGCTCCCTCCCTTTGCCATCTGCTGCTGCTGCTCCTCTGCCTCCTCCTCACTCCGCCAGAGTGCTCTGACTCTACCGTTCCCGAGGACTTAGGGGGGAACGTCCCCAGGCGGCCCAGCCTACATCGGCACACACAGGTTGGAGGCTAAAAGCCAAGGAAAGCTAGGCCAACCCCACCCGACTCGCCTGGCGTCGGTCTGCCTGACACGCATGCACACACGCTCGCGTGCACACAGACACACACACACACACAGGGAGAGGGGCTCCAGACAGACTCACAGCACAGAGAGGCTGATGCGTGCTATGAAGTGGGGGACCCACACCCAGCCCGGGGTCCGCAGGACCCCCCCAACAGCTCCAGTGAGAAGCACCTGCTGTCCCAGTCCCGCAGCGAGCCCGCCACGCTCCGTGTCCCTTGGACATGGCGGGAAATCAGCTTCCCTTCTTGCAGGATGGAAGGCCACAGGTGTGGCGTGCCGTGAGGTTTCAGTGGACCACTGAGCATCGTGTGTGTGTGTGTGTGTGTGTGTGTGTGTGTGTGTGACAGTCCTGGGACTTGAACTCAGGGCCTGGGCGCTGCTATCCCATGGCTTTTTTTTTTTTCATTCAAGGCTGGCGCTCTACCACTCTAGCCACAGCTCCACTCCTGCTTTTCTGGTGGTTCACTGGAGGTATGAGTCTCGTGAAACGTTCTTGCCCGGGCTGGCTTCGCATCTCCATCCTCAGATCTCAGCCTCCTGAGTAGCTAGGATGAAGGCGTGGGCCACGGAGCCCGGCTCCACTGCGCTTCTGACTACGTGACTGTCTTGGAGGGGTGGAGGCTTCGCGTCCTCGAGGCTGGGAGGCGAGGTGTGGGGGTGAGGAAGGCAGCAGCCAGCCTCGTACTCATTGTCGCCATGTTAGAGAGGAGACAGGGCTCGGAGAGGCCCGGGTGCTTGCCCGACGCCACTCAGCACATGGGAGGCAGAGCGTGCGGAGGGCGGGCACGGCGGGGAGAGGGGCTGGGCGTGATCAAAGGGACGGAGAGAGACGCGTGGACACTCCACTCCTGGGCTTTGGGGGGGCTCGGGTGGGGCGGGGTTTGGAGACGCACCAGCTGCGATGTTGACTAGGGTACCAACCCCCACAACTGAGGCACAGAGAGGTTGTGGCCAAGGTCACATCACACAGAGGTCTGGGACTAGAATCCAGGTCTCCTGAGCCTCAGAGCGGCGGCTCCCCCCCCGCCCCTCCCCCAGCCAGAGGCCCTCCTCCCCCCCTCCCCCCCCGGGGGTCCAGGGTGACCAGAGGCGGCCTGGCCGGCCCGAGCGCTCACCTGGGTGCTGGATGGCCCCACGGCCCGCCGGGGCACCTTGATGTCGAAGCCCCCTTTGGGGTCCTTCTCTCCGCGCAGGCAGGGGTCATTGGGGGGCTCCCGGCCGCCCTCCCAATCGCAGATGGTTTTGCGGATGGCCTGCAGGACACTGGGGGGGGGGGGGGGGCGGGGACTCACCACCAGAAGGAGGCGGGGCCCGCCAGGAGGACTTCCTGTCCCTTCCCACCCTGGGGGAAGCTGCCTTCCCCAGGTGCCCCTGGGTGTCGTAGTGGGGGGGACGCTGGGGTGAGCGGGGACGGGAGAATCGCTCTCCCTCAGGGGTGAGAGGAGCTGCCGCGAGTCTGGTGACGTGTGTGGAGTTGGGGTTCCAATGGCGGCTTTGACTTAGTGGACTGAGGTCACACGGCATGCCGTCCCTCCATCAAGGCCCCCCCCCCCCCGTGACTGGGGACCGCAGTTGGGGGGGGGTACCATCATACCCATTTTTGTCAGTCATGGGGCTTGAACTCAGGGCCTGGGCTCTGTCCAGGGGCTAATGCTCTACCACTCGAGCCACAGCTTTCTGGTGGTTCGTTGGAGATGGGCGTCTCATGGACTTCCCTGTCTGGGCTGGCTTTGAACCTCGATCCTCAGATCTCAGCCTCCTGAGTAGCTAGGATTCCCAGGCCCGAGCCCCGGGCGCCTGGCTTCGTTGTACCCACTTTACAGACAAGGGAAACCGAGGCCCGGAGGCATCGGTCTGACTCTCCCGCCCAGCACACAGCTAGCCAGCGCTGGCCTTGGGCTCAAATCCAAAGACACACGCTTCGCCCCTCTTCCGTGTTCAGTCTCCTCGGGGAACCTACTAGAACTTGCTGGGGGAGCTGTGTTCGTTCACAGGCTAGCCGGGAAGCTGAGTCTGGCTTGACTTGCAGCGAGTCCCCCTTGATTGGGAAGTGCTCGGCTGGGGGGCGAGGGGGACGGTGGGGGGGGCGTGTCCCCAAGACCCACCTGATGAGCACGTTCTTCTTCTTGCGCACGGCCTGCCGGAGGGGCTCGCGCAGGGTCACCTGGGCGAAGTCCTGCAGGGCGGCGTAGATGGTGTTCCGGATGGCCTGGTTGAAGACGCTCTCCATGCGGCCCATGAGCACCTGCAGGCCTTTGATCATCGCGATCACCTGAGGGGCACGGCGCTGGTCAGGCCTGCCAGCCCCCCCTCCCTGCCATGCTTCACCACCGCATCACCTCCAAAGGGCTACTGGAGAGGAGTCCCACACCCAAGAGGGGTCCCGTGCACCCAACTTATTATCTTATCATTACGCACTGGATCCCATAAAGACGTACAGCTATGTATGTCAAGCAAGGAGGAGGACGGGTGCCAGCCGCCTGTGACTCACGCCTATAATCTGAGCGGCTCAGAAAGCTGAGATCTGGAGGATCATGGTTCTACGTCCAGCCCAGGCAGGAGAGTCCACTAACCACGGACCTCCCAACGAACCAGCACAAAGCCGGAAGCGAAGGCGGGGTCGTGTGTCTTTGCCTGAGGATTTTCGGGTCTCTTTCAGCTGCTTGGTATTTTGTTTTTTCTTTTTGCTGTGTTTTCTTTCAGCCCATTTTTCTAGTGAAGTGAACAGGTGTGAACCTGTATATGAATCTCTCATTGTTTTTGAATAGCAACTTTGTGTGTGTGTGTGAGGGGGCGGGGAAACGGCAGTCTTAGGACTTGAACTCAAGGCCTGGGCAATGTCCCTGAGTTTTTTTATTTTGCTCAAGGGTAATGCTCTACCACCTGAGCCACACCTCCACTTCTGGCTTTATTTAGTGTTTAATTGGAGATAAGAGTCTCAAAGACTTTCCTGTCCGGGGCTGGTTTTGAACTGCGATCCTTACATCTCGGCCTCCTGAGTAGCCAGGATGACAGGCGTGAGCCACAGGTGCCCAGCTCTGGATGGGACGAGGGGACAGAGAAGGGTGTGCAAATTGAGACATAAGGCCAGAACATCCAGGGCGGCTGCGGTCTGCGGCGGAGGCCCGGCAGTGGAGGCTCAGCGGCGGAGGTTCGGCGGCAGAGTCCGCTCCTACCTCCACAAAGGCAAACTTCTCCTCGCTGGTGTAGTTGTAGCGCGTGGCTCTCTCGTACTCTTCCGCCGTGCCCGGGCAGTCCTTGTTGCAAAACTTGTCTGTGGGGTGAACCAGCTTCCAAGAGTACTGGCGGAGAGAACAATCGAGAACCTCTCAGTGCCAAGCCTGAGGCAAACCTGGGTGCTCCTGTGCAGTGGAATATTACTGACCACGAAAAAGGAAAGGGTTCTCATCAATGGGACTGAACCTTGACTCGGGGAACTCAAAGAAGCCAGTGGCCAGGCACCGGTGGCTCACGCCTTTAATCCCAGCTACTCAGGAGGCTGAGATCTGAGGATCTCGGTTCAAAGCCAGCCTGGGTAGGAAAGTCTATGAGACTCTTATCTCCAGTGAACGGCCAGAAAATCAGAAGTGGAGCTGTGGTTCAAAGTGGTAGAGCGCTATGAGTGAAAAAGCTCAGGGACAGCGCCCAGGTCCTGAGTTCAAGCCCCAGGACCGACCGAAAAAAAGAAAAAGAAGCAGCCAGGTACAAACGACCACACACTCTACAATCTTATTTGTAAGAAACATCTAGAACGGAAGACACGATGGCCATAGAGAGTAGAATGCCTAGCCGAAAGGCGGAGAGTTCCAAAAAAAAATCTCAATAGGGCTAAGACCCAAGCCCAGTCTGTGGTACTCCATTACTCATGAGCCAGCAAAAACCTGGGCTGGAGGTGTGGCCCAGGGGGTAGAGCACCAGCCCTGGGCAAAAAGGGAAAGGAGAATGCTTGGGCTGGAGGGGCTGGAGGTGAGCGCGCATGGTTTTCTTTGGAAGCAGTGGAAGTTATCCCGATTGGACTGTAGTTCTGTACATGTGCACACGGACTGAAAATACCCTGGGTGCAGGCTGCCGAGGACGCGTGGTAGAGAGCGGAGACACGCGTGCCAAACACGCACAGGCCAGTGTGGGGCCGGTGTGCTTTGCCTCCCCCTCCACCACCTGAGGCTCGGCCTCCACCTCCCCACCCCCGGCCTCCACCACCTGAGCCTCGGCTTCCACCTCCCCACCCCCGGCCTCCACCTCCCCACCCCCGGCCTCCACCTCCCCACCCCCGGCCTCCACCTCCCCACCCCCGGCCTCCACCACCTGAGCCTCGGCCTCCACCTACCACTTCCATGACATGGGCGCTCCACTTGGACAGGAGCTGCAGGCCCCGCAGGGCCAGGTCGAAGAGCTCGCGGTATTCCTCGTCTGACTTCTGGCTGTCCAGCCCGGAGCCCGTCACCACCTGCGAAGCGGGGCGGAGACCGAGCCCTTCACCAGCCACGCACAGCCACGCACCGGACCCCTGAACTCAGCCCTCTGCTCCTCTTCCAGTGGCTTCGACTGCAGGGACACTCGGGAAGGCATCCATGCACAGGGAGAGTTTTCGTGCTTGTTCTGGGGCTTAAACTCAGGACCTCGGCACTGGCTCTTGACGTTATTCTTTAGTTTTTGCTCCGGGCTGGCACTCTACCACTTGAGCCATCGCTTCACTCCTGGCTTTTTTTTTGGTGGTTCACTGGAGATAAGAAGCTCCCAGACTTTCCTGCCCTGGGCTGGCTTCGAACTGAGATCCTTAGATCTCAGCCTCCTGAGGAGCTAGGATGACAGGCGTGAGCCACGGGTGCCTGGCAGCAACTGTCTCTTAGGACAGCGAATCCCCCGTTTCTTGGTTCTATTTCAGATAGAATGCCCGTTACAAATCACTAAAGTTGATTTGGGGAAGCATTTTGGAGACGTGACTGGCCGGTTACAAAGCTGTGATACACACAGACCTTTGCAGCGTGTGCAATACTCCACAGCCACCTACGGCCGTGGACGTGGCTCCCACGCGGTACGCAGGCGTGTGGGTGTGTGGCCGGGCCTCACGGTGCCCGTGGCACCCGTCAGTCAACGGCTGGCCCGTGCAAGACTCTCTGCCCGTGGTGCTCAGCCCTTGTGTTGCAAGCGAACGTCTGAGCCTACCGGCCGGAGCGCGGAGCTCGTTTCTTGGGCTGCTGCTGGGTGATTTCACGGTGCAGGGACAGAGGTCATATAGCACTTTTAGCAGCAGGAATGATCATGTATGTATATGTATATTATTGCATGGGTAGTCTCACAAAAGGTGCTCACAGCAGTGCTCAGAGCTGAGGGCTCTTGATGGACCAGAACTCTCGCAGGGACAGGGAAGCCCCGCATAGGGGATGCGCTCTGCCCTCTCCCCCGTGTGCAATCCGCTCACACATGGTGGACGGAGAAGGTCTGGGAAGAGGCGTGTGCATCTGCAGTGCACACGTGTGGCTGGGTGCGGAGTATGTGTGGAAATGTACGCAGCCCCAGGCCGAGGGAGCCACGGGAGGCCGGGACTTACCCCGTGCGTGCGTGCGTGCGTGCGTGTGTGTGTGTGTGTGTGTGCGCGCGCATGTGTGAGCCATGCACAGACCACGCCGCTCACACAGGAGCCCTCAGCACCCAAGGGTGTGGGTGCTGGGGGGGACCCCGAATTCCATCTCCATGACACCCAGGGCTGCCCGTGCTTCTTACAGCCACGCATCCTCACTAGGGAGCAGCCGGCCCTGGCTTATGAGAATTTAAATGAGTCCCATGCCCAGCTTGGCGGAGGGACACATTTGCTAAGAAAGCTAAAGGTTTGGGGTCTGGGATATAGCTCGAGTAGTGGACCTGAGGCTTGATCCCGAGAAAGGAAGGCAGGAAGAAAGGAGGAAAGAAGAAGGGAGAGAGGGAACGGAGGAAGGGAGGGAAAAAAGGAGGGAGGGGAGGGAAGGAAGAAAGAAGAGAAAGAAACAAGAGAGAGAGGAGGAAGGAAGGAAGGAAGGAGGGAGGAAGGGAAAGAGAAAAGGAGGTAAAAGGAGGAAAGGAAGAAAGAATAAAGAGAAACAAGGGAGGGAGGGAGAAAGAAGGGAGAGAAGGGAAGGAGGAAAGGAGGAAAGAAAGGAGAAAGAGAAGAGGGAGGAAGGGAGAAAGGCGGGAGGGAGGGAGAGAAATAGGAAGAGAGAGGGAAGGAGGGAGGAAAGAAAGGAGGGAGGGAAGAAAGAAGGGAGGGAAGGAAGGGAGGGAGGAAGGAAGGAAGGAAAGAGGAGAAAAGAGAGAAGGAAGGAGGGAGGGAAGAAAGGAGGGAGGGAGAGAGGGCAAGAAGGAAGGAGGAAGGAGAGGCAGGGCAGAAGTAGGCAGACTAGGGTAAGACCTTGTCCATGTGGGCCACTAATTTCACGCCCACCCTGTGTCTGTCAGCCTGTCCCCATTTGTCTGTCCCCATGATCACCGCGGGCCACCGGGGGGCAGCAGTGAGCACATGGGTCTTCCACCATGAAGGGGCCAAGGAAAGAGATGTGCGCTGACTTCTACAGAAGAGTGCCAAAGACCCAGCCCTAAACACTCAAACGCCGCGGGTCACTGCAGCTCGGGGGCTGGGAGGCTGTAGGGAATCAGCTTTTCCTCCTTTTGCAGAGCCATCTTATCTCTGAGGCTTGTGACTTGCTCATGTTTCCATAGTAACAGAACAAGACAAAAAAGCAGGACACGGGTGGCTCACAACTGTTACCTCAGCTATTCAGGAGGCTGAGATGGGAGGATCATGGTTCAAAGCCACCAGCCCAGGGAAGGACAATCTGTGAGACTCTTATCTCCAGTTAACCACCAGAAAACCAGAAGTGGCGCTGTGGCTCAAGTGGTAGGATGTGAGCTTTGAGCAGAAAAACTACAGGACAAGCCGGGCGTTGGTGGCTCACGCCTGTCATCCTAACTATTCAGGAGGCTGAGATCTGAGGCTGGCAGTTCAAAGCTGCCGTGGGTGGAAAGTCCGTGAGACTCTTATCTCCAATGAACCACCAGAAAACCGGAAGTGGCGCTGTGGCGCAAGTGGTAGAGCGCTCGCCTTGAGCTGAAGAGCTGAGGGACAGTGCACAAGTCCCATGACCAACAAAACAACAACAAAGCTAGAGGGCAGTGCCCAGGCTCTGAGTTCAAGCCCCAGCACCCACCCCCACCCGCACCCCCCAAAAAACCCAAAACAGTCCAATCAAAACAGAAAAGAAAGGGGCTGGGAAGGTGGCTCAGTGGTCGAGCGCTTGCCTAGCATGCATGAGGCCCTGGGTTCGATTCCTCAGCACCACATATGCAGAAAAAGCTGGAAATGGGGCTGTGGCTCAAGTGGTAGAGCGCCGCGCTCTCACCTCGCTGTTGCTGTAGCGGGCGAGCTCGGAGATGAAGCGGATGTGGTCGTCTCGGATCTGCACCATCTGCTCGCAGATGTTGTACTGGGGGCTGATGCTGCTCTGCGTGCAGGTCCACCTGGGGGGGTGGGGAGACCGCAGCGTTGGGGGGGGCCCCCTGGCTCCTTCCACTCACTCCTGTGCTCTGCGTGGAACCCAGGTTAGCTCTAGCCCTGCTCGGTGGAGTCCGCTAAGCACAGTGCTGCGGGCCCGTGTGGGGCAGCATGCCTGCTCCTCCCCCTCCTCCCCCTCCTCCTCCTTCTCCCCTCTTCCCCCTCCTCCTTCTCCCCTCCTCCTCCCCGATTCAGAATCGTGCAGGCATGCTTGGAGCCTGCACCTGCTCTCCCCCAAACACCTTGAGATCACAGAGACCAAAGCCCGCTGCAGCCTCCTCCCCCCGCCCCGTCCCCCCCCCCCGAAAGTCCAGATAACAGAGGATAAAAAGCGAAGTCCTCCAGGACGGGGGCCCAAGCAAGAGCCAGAGCAGCCAAGTCACGCCAAAGGGACTTTCAAAGAGGGATCCCACCGGCTGGTGCTGGTGCTCACGCCTGTAACCCCAGCGACTCGTGGGGCTGAGACCTGAGGATCGCGGTTCAAAGCCAGCCAGGGCAGGAAAGTCACTGAGACTCTTATCTCCAGTTACTCACCAAAATAAATAAATAAATAGTCTGTACCCTCTCCCCTCCTCCCCCCTTTCTTCTCTTCCTCCTCTTCTCTGGGCAAGCAGTGGCAAGCCTCTCACGTGGTGTAGGCCGCCCTTCCAGGCAGCAGGCCAGGCTGGGGGTTTGTACCAAGCCACCAAAAACAAAGAGGCTTTCCCTCAGTTTCTCTTTCAGAGAAACTAGGCCTCCACCCCCAATCCTCCTCTCCCCGGGCCTCTCTGGCTCCTGCAGTGACGATCTGGTCTCCTGGCGTCCTTTCCTCCCAGCCGACAACTTACCAGTTCCACACAGAGCCAACGGGTGTGTGTGCACGTGCGTGTGTGCGTGTGCTCCTGCCAGCCTTGCTAGAGGTAGCAAGAGCTGGCACTGGAGCCAAGGACCCCGCAAGCGACCTCTTTCCCAGGGGCGGCCCTGTGCGCAGCCGCGGCTCCTGCCCCTCCCCCCCTTCCCCCCCTTTCCTCTCTCCCTTCTCTGTGGAACAACGCCAGTAGGAAAACCAGCCCAAATAGAAGGATGGGGTGCATGAAAGCACCCCTCGCTCCTCTTCCTCTGTCCAGTGCTGGGGTCCGGGCAGAGGGACCCGCTTGCACGTCGCTGTTTGTGTCTTGCAGTCACTTCTGTAGGGTCCGGAACACTCGAACCCATGACTCCCAGCCCGGCCCCCTGCCCGTCTTCTGGGCAACCAGGCTGGGGGGGTGAGGGAGGAGGGGGTCCCAGCTCCTCTGCAGACTGCGGATCTCCAGTTCCTGGGGTCCCCGTGGCTGAGCTCCAGCCCAGGGTGACCAAGCCCCTCTGCTAGTGTCCTTTGTTCATTTGTTTTTGCTGATTCTGGAGCTTGAACTCAGGGCCTGGGCACCATCCCTGAGCTTTTGTGCTCAAAGCTGGTGCTCTACCAGTTGAGCCACAGTTCCACTTCCGGTGTGTGTGTGTGTGTGTGTGTGTGTCTGTGTGTGTGTCTGTGTCCTGGGGCTTGAACTCAGGGCACTGTCTTTGGGCTGCTTTTGCTCAAGGCAAGTGCTCTATCACTTGAGCCACAGCTCCACTTCCGGATTTTCCTGTGACTAATTGGAGCCAAGAGTCTCACGGACTTGGCTGCCTGGGCTGGCCTCGAACCTCGATTCTCAGATCTCAGCCTCCTGCGCTTGCTAGGATGACAGGCGTGAGCCGCTGGTGCCTGGCTCACTTTGGGCTTCTTGCTGGTAAAGCGGAGAGAGGAATCACACGAACGTTCCTGTGCTGGGCTGGCTTTGAACCGCAATCCTCAGATCTCAGCCTCGTGAGCGGCGAGGATGACAGGCGTGAGCCTCCAGCGAGCGCCCCTCGGGGCCCCTCGCGTCTGTTGGTGACTCAGCTGTCAGCCCAGCAGAGCAAGGCCAGGCTTCCTCCACGTGGGGCCAAAGGGGTGAGGAGCTGAGATGGGCGGAGGCCGGGGCCGGACGCCCCTAGCTCTCACGAGATCTGACCCCAGGCACTTAGCAGATGGCGCTGTCCGCCCTCCCTGCGGCCAGATCCACCCACGAACCCACAGCTCCACCACGTACTTACTGCGTGGCCACAAAACCTGAGCCGGGGAAGGAGAAACTGAGGCAGCATCTCTCTCCAGACGCCCCTCCCCGGGGGCGGCCCCGGCGGGTGATGGGCGGCGGGCCGGTGCGGGTGCCGGGGCTCTGGGGAGGAGGGAGGGGCTGAAGTGGCCCCCCGGCCCCCTGCCCAGGGCTGGGTGCTGTCGAGGACGCCGAGACACATTACGGCAGGCACTCACTTGGATTTGTTCTCCTCGTAGTGAGCGCTGGTCTTAATGTATCTGGCCAGCTCGATCTGCATGTCCCCGAACAATGGCACCACCTGCAGCTGCTGCAAAGGAAGGAAAGACAGCCGTGAGAGAGAGGCTGGCTGCGGGGGTGACCCTGAGCCCCCCACCCCCGCCCCCCCACGACCTCCCCAGCCAGCAGCCACATCTCCAGTCTAAGCAGCTAAAGGCCGCTAGAGGGAGGCCAGGCACCGTGGCTCACACCTGTAATCCCAGCTATTCCAGTGGCAGAGGTGAGGAGGATCATGTTTGAAGGCCAGTCCAGGCAAAGAGTTAGGGCAAACCCCATCTCAACAACAACAACAACAAGCTGGGCATGGTAGCTCATGCTTCCGATCCCAGCTGGCGGCTCACGCCTGTCATCCTAGCTACTCAGGAGGCTGAGATCTGAGGATCGCGGTTTGAAATCGGCTGGGGCGGGAAAGTCTGTGACACTCTTTAATCAATGACTCAGAAAGACCCGGAAGTGGCGCAGTAGGCTCAAGTGGTAGATTACTAACTTCAGTCAAAGGAACTCAGGGACAGGGCCTAGGCTCTGAGTGCAAGCCCCAGAACCAGCACCAGAAAAATAAAAGACAAAAGGCAAAGCTTCATCAGGAAAAGAATGTAGCACATCCACACTGCTCCCCCTCCCAGAAATAGAGCTGGAGTCTCAGCTCGAGTGGTCAAATGTCAGCCTGAAGAAAGGCCAGAGAGCTGGGCACTAGTGGCTCATGCCTGTAATCCTAGCTACTCAGGAAGCTGAGATCTGAGAACTGTGGTTTGAAGCCCAGGCAGGAAAGTCTATGAGACGCTTATCTCCTCTCCAACTGACTACTCAGAAAAAGCCTGAAGTGGTGCTATGGCTCGAGCGGTAGAGTGCCAGCCTTGAGCCAAAGAAGCTCAGGCCCTGAGTTCAAGGCCCAGGACTGGCAAAAGAAAAAAGAAAAAAAAAGGAAGGCCAGAGGAAGGGGAGGGGATGGAGGAGGCTGGTGCTCACTGCCGGCCTCTCTGGCACTAGAACCTGTACCAGCGCGTCCTGTCTGCGCCTGCTCAGTAGCCCAGGGACCTTGAACACGACTGTTAACCCTTTCACGTCGCAGATCAGACACTGCTACTTTGACACACATTCTGGCCAGAACCAGGATTAGAACCCTGGGCTCACACCATGGAACCCTGCTCAATCCAGCGATATGGGGTGGAGGGGACCCTCAGCATGCAGGATCCTCCCCCCCCCCCCCCAGGACTAGGGAAACTGAGCTCTAAAGCCACCGGGCCACCGGAAGTCTGGCCCTGTCCGTGTGGCTCCTCGCTGAGTGACTTTGCTCCCCTCCACTCAGACACTTGGCGAGGCTGGGCTTCCCGGCCTCCCGGCCTCCTGGCCTCCAGGCCGACGCTCTGCCACCGGGTG